GTTGAGGCATACTGCACAATCCGTTTGTTATTATCTGATATTTTCTTACGCAACAAGACAAGCCCAGACAATAGCCCTGAACGAGGACATCATATGATAGCCGAATGAGGATGGGACACGAAGAACAAAAGTTATTGATTTAGTGTCAGAAAAGTGATGGTGTCAACAAACTAAAGCACTATGACGCTCTTAATGTGCGTCATCAGCTGATTCAACCACTTCAACACATAAAGAATAGAAACGCAACGGGATGTTATAAAAAAAATAACGAGCTCACATTCGTCTAAATTCACAAATCGCTGCTGACGGCGGACGTTGCCATCCTTGTCTCTTTTCTTTTCAATTATATGAGTACGGTCACCTATAGTATGCCCTATAGCCATCTCTTCCCGTGCACCGTCCCGCACAGCTCTGCAAGATGAAAACAAATCAAAAAACCATGACTACATCTTTGAAAAGTGTTTGCCTTCTCGTCTCCTTCACATCTCCACTTTTTCGCATAGAATTTTCTACCACCCGAGGCTGTCCGTCTTCACCAAATGTAACCATAGTCGACTGGGTGTACACTTGCGAGTGAGGATCATTCATTGCACGTTCTTGCATATCTTCCTGTAAAAAAAAAGCTTTAGTTTAGGAAAAAACTATGAAAAGTCTGTTAGTTCCTGATATGAACACAAAAATGTTATAATTTCCCAATCGAAAAAAAAAGAAAAAGAATGCATAAATCACTGCAGAATACCATTTTCTTACCATTCGGTATGGATAGCGCATCTATAACTGCTTAGATAAGCATAATCTTTCTTGATAAACTTACAGAACAAAGGTTATGTTTGTAATTTTCTGAACTGTTAGAATAAAATGGACAAAAATTTTTAAAATATCTGCTACAAACATATATTTAATTCTCACCCTTCGATATGGAGGGTATGGTGGTGGCATCTAAAATTTCAGTCAGCTTTTCAATGCAAAAGGATAGAACATTTCACTCGAAAATATAGGCAGAGTGAAAGATAATCGAAGAAATGAAATTAACGAACCATTGCCGAAAATATTCCACCGATTCCCCCAAAAGGATCGAATGGTCGAGCAAGCATACGATGCGATTGAGGAGGAGGTTGTCGTCCATAAGGTCCCTGGATAGCACGATAAAGGAAAAGTCATAAAATGAAAGCCGGAAGTTGTCTAATTATTGGAAAAACAGCTTATCAACAAAACTCATCCTTGAAT